CTTCTAGCAAAGGGCAGAAGGAATGAGTGCTCTAGACGCTACAGTGACAGAGAGAGACAGAAAGCAAGAGGGATTTCCAGCACTGGCAGAGATCTCTCCAGGATCAGCTCACCTATCCCTAGGGCCCCTGCTCATCCCACAATGTGTTGGCTACTTCCAAGAAGTTCACTTCTACTCTTCTTAAATATTTATACTGTTCGTATAAATAGAATCCCATTGCACGGGGGCTGTCTTTTCTCTTACGTTGTAGCCAGTAAAACCACGAGACCGTGTCTCCTGTCCACACTCTGTGTGCTTTTCTGGGTGTTAAAATCCTAGGGCTGCGAGCAAACAGCGGCTAACATTAGCTCACGGAGGCTCCAGCATCACCCATCTCTGCTGATCCCTGCCCAGCTGCAGTCTATTGTTCCAGAGATATGTCTCACAACAAACAGCTGTAGCTGCGATTCATGCTCGGGCACCTGAAAGGACACAGACCATTCCATGGGCTTGAAATTACTGCAGATCTTGCCCAAATATTCCAATTAATCTGGCACTGCCGCCTTCTCCATTTGAACAAGGGTGGCCAGAGCCGGGAAGGAGTTTTGTTCTGTGGTCACCCCATATCCCAGCTCCCACCCGAGCTGGGACATCTTGCCTGAGCCATGTGAGCCCAAGTCAGCTGTTGCGGCCCAGCCCCGGGTGGTGACTGCAGGGTAGAAATACCCTCCAGGCCCAAGCTCCCTGCCTTGGAAGAAGAGCAGCAGGATGAGATGCAGAACGCCGGGAAAGAGACTGGAAAGAGGCAGGAAAACTGAAAATAGGAAGTAGCATGTGTTGGGCTAAGATATGGTCACTGTTGTTAGCAACAGGTCGTGGGCAATAAACAAAATTCACAGAACCCTGTGACCTGTCCTTGACTTGGATCACAAATAATTAGGCCAACATGGGGGGAAAAGGGAGGCACCCCCCACCGGTGCTGGTGTGCCATGGTTCCGTTCCCCATGATGGCTGAGAAGTGGGGAGGGGGGGGCCCTTTGCTTCTGGCAGCAGCTTGGTGCTGTGGGCTCAGGGCAGGGAGGAGGGGGTCCCCTATTGCTTGGTGCTATGGGGAATACAGTGAAAACGCCACAGGGATCTCTGGAAGTCACAGATCAATGACATCTGTGACCAAAACTTAGCCTTAAGCATGTGTTAAACTCTGGATGTGTTATGCACATTGGAAAAAATAACCCCAACTATACGTACAGTATGATGGGGGCTAATTTGGCTATGACAAATCAGGAAAGAGATCTTGGAGTTATCGTGGACAGTTCTCTGAAAACTTCCACACAGTGTGCAGCGGCGGTCAAAAAGGCAAATAGGATGTTAGGAATTATTAAGAAAGGCATAAAAAATAAGACACAGAATATCTTACTGCCCCTTTATGAAACTATGGTACGCCCACATCTTGAAAACTGTGTACAGATGTGGTCTCCTCACCTCAAAAAAGATATTTTGGCCTAGGAAAGGATTCAGAAAAGGGCAACTAAAATGATTAGGGGTTTGGAATGGGTCCCATATGAAGAGAGGTTAAAGTGACTGTGACTTTTCAGTTTAGAAAAGAGGAGACTGAGAGGGGATATGATAGAGGTATATAAAATCATGAATGGTGTGGAGAGGGCGGATGAAGAAAAGTTATTTATCAGTTCCCATAATAGAAGAACTAGAGGACACCAAATGAAATTAATGGGGAGCAGGTTTAAAACTAATAAAAGAAAGTTCTTCTTCACACAGCATATAGTCAACCTGTGGAACTCCTTGCTAGAGGAGGCTGTGAAGGCTAGGACTATAACAGAGTTTAAAGAGAAGCTAGATAATTTCATAGAGGTTAGGTCCATAAAAAGCTATTAGCCAGGGGATAGAATTGGTGTTCCTGGCCTCTGTCAGAGGCTGGAGAGGGATGGCAGGAGACAAATCGCTTGATCATTGTCTGCGGTCCACCCTCTCTGGGGCGCCTGATGCTGGCCACTGTTGGCAGACAGGATAGTGGGTTAGATGGACCTTTGGTCTGACCCAGTACGGCTGTTCTTATGCTCTTATGTACAGAGGCATGGACTAGCTGATTTTGCAAGGCTCCTTCCAAATCTACCTTTCTATATTTATATATGTTTCCACGTTACACTCATGTTTGATGAGGGACAAGGTCCTTTGTCACTTTCTAGTGTATGAACATTCTGTTTTAGTTTGAATCATTAAAGTTCCTTAGTAGCCCTGAATATAGATATGCTGGTAACAACATTCTAAATCTTGTAGTTGAAATGCAGGAATTCATTATTGTATTTTCTCTTAAATAAACTGAAACTATTGTATCTCATGTGGCAATGTAAACATATGCTCAAAAATACTAGTTAATTTGATTACTTTTGTGTTTTCAATCGTTTGTATTTATGGGCTGACAGAAGTCTTCCAGCTTCTTTGTTAATGGATGATAAATCACTTGGGTTTATAGTTTTAAGTTTATACTGTGCCATTGTCAGACTTTGACTTCAATTAGATATGATAAGGTAAATGCTCAGTAGTAATATGTTTCTGAAGCATTAAGAAAACTCTAATTTAGGTTTTTATTATTTGCATGTGTATTTTGTGTGTGATAATTATTTTATTTTGCAATTAAAAATTCTTTCAACTTCTTGGAAACAACGAAGTATAAAATACCATTATGAAATTGTACAGACTTCGATGAAAATATGTAACATGACCTTCTTAATTTATTTTCATTACCTTCATAGAAAAGCAATCACAACAACCTGAATTAGAGCAAGATTATATCAGTTTAGCCTCTTGCAATTTTAAGGGTTTAACTGATACCTTTTTATGGAGGGCTTTTATACCCTTGGAAAACAGAACACTTGAAACTGAATGTGATTTGTAATTGACTACAAATGATTTTGATATTGTACCTAGCATGCCACAGCCACAGTTAATTTCTTGATCTCAGCAACCCAAATATTGGAACACTTTCCTTGGGACTTGGATCCCACATGATGTGACATATTAGACCTGCTCCTGTTCACCTTAAATGTAATCACAAAGCTTGCTTGCTTTTATCATTTGTTTACAAATAGTGAGTCAAGTTAAGATTGCGGCCCCCTCATCATAGATGTAAATCTGAGTTCGAGAGAAACTACCATATGCCCAGGGCCGAACAAGAAGTCTATGGCAGTACCAGGAATTAAACCCCCATCTCCTTAGTCCCAGTTCCACATCCTAACTATA